ACCATTTATCAGACAGGCCAGCAGGAGTGTCTGTGTTATTAAGGAATCCATATATATACATGCGAATTGCGTATAACACCTGTCTCACAGCTTCCCTTCTTTGTGTTTGACTTGATAGTTTACTGTGCTGTTCCTTCCACATAGAATGTACCAAACAACAGGAAAATAGCCCTGGTAGTTTTCTCTTGGTGGGAAATAGTGGGATAAGGTAGATGACAACACGGTCACATGTAGTAAATCAGTGTGGGCCCATGTCCTGAGTATGTACATGTATTATGTTGAATCATTGGAAATGTGATCCCTTTTGATTGAGAAGAATGGCAACTTCATATGTGTAGGCTAACAAATAATTTAAAAATTGGACATCGGGCAAGGAAGGGTGCACCTCTGAAGCCAAATAGTAATTACACAGGGAGGCAAAATACAGCCTGTGGCAAGCTGTTTTGTGACTCACAGTGCTTTTATGTTAAAAAAGATTTAATTGCTAACCTTATCGTATTAGGAGATTTCAAACAAAATTCTGAGTTTTCAGCTTCTCTGCAAAAATCAGAATCTTGGCGTGCTAGGTTGGCGAACTTCCGTGGCGACATTAGCGGGGGTGGGTGGCCGCTATGTTCCTACAGAGTTCACGTGTGTGTCCGTTCACACGCTGGCCAGCTTCCGGCTCTCAGGTGACCTTGACTGGCCTCGTGGGCTTTGAGGTTGGACACGTGATATAAATAGAACACCTATAGTATGTTGGATAAGGAGAGAATTGGAAGAAGTCATCAGCTGGATCAGAGCCATTTGTTTTGTTAATTATCCATCCCCAACCAGCACATCCAAAAAGACAGCCTGACGCAGCTCCGGACACTGTGCACTGAGAAAGGACAGGTAAGCATAAGGAAGGAATCCTTCCATGTGCTAAGAGTTGGGCAAACTTATTGTATGAAAATTTTTGGCTCAGTGCTCCTCATTTAAGTAGGATGTGATGACAGCTTCCTTCCACTGGCCACTATTCATGTTATAGGCTAATATAATATCTATTTCGTTTGTTTCTTAATTCCTGACATTTATGAGGAGAGATTACTGGACAGTTGGCCACGTCCTAACTTTAACATAAAGAAAAGTTCTTATGGACTAATATGTATATAAAGTATCAGCTGTTTATCGCTCCATTATTCATATTGGAGGGAAAACTGGAAATAAAGAGAAGACTGATCAATAGAGGAAGGGCTGAATAAATTATGGTATGTCAACATCATGAAATATGTAGCATTAAAACAACAAATTGGCCGGACACCAATTGACTTGGAGGGATTTCCCTGAAAAGTAATACTAACTTAAGATTTAACTAGTGCTTCCTATGTACTAGACACAGTTCCAAGGGCTTTCCATGTATTAACCCATGTGATCCTCCCAGCTACGCTATGAGCTCTATGCTGTTATCTCCATCATACAAATGAAGAAATTGAGGCATGGAGGAGTTAAGTCAGTCATCAAAGAACAAGCATTTACTGTGTGGTGGGGCCAGGTTATGAACTCCTGCAATCCGGGTAGACAGAGACTTTTTAAAGTAATTTTTAGGTTAGATATCAGAGTACCTTATCAATAAGAAGTTTAGCTATAGAATCTTAATTCATAGCTATTCCAGAATTCTCTGGATTCTTTTCTTATATTTTAGACTCTTAGACTCATTATGCTGGCTCAGACCTTAGAAATAATTTAGTCTTCCGGTTTTCGAACTTAGCCCTCCTTTTCCCTTCTTTAAACCAACTGAATCTTCCTGTAGGCAGAATGATACTTAGTACTGACCTGGAGCTACTCGGCCTTCTCTTTTTCCCCTGGGTGGTGGTGGGGTGGGGGGGCTAGTGCCGGCTATAGATACAGTCTGCCTCCTTAATTCTGTGGGTGCAGAAATGCATTCCAGAGAGAGAGCCTAACATTTACTGAACTGATGTTTCCGGCGATGTTATTAGGCCTCATGGGTAGATTTTATTATGCCCATTAAGGAAACTGAGATTTAGAGAAAAATTAAGCCCAACATCATAGAGGAAATTGGTACTAGGGTTGAAAGGATAGGAAGGGTAGAATCCTTGTTGAACCTCCTTTTCTGGGGTCTTACAACCTAAGATTTGGGAGCTACAGTGGCCCACCAGAAGCCCTTCCATTGAATGTTACCTTATCTTGCTGTTGACTTAAGTAGGCAGTTGTTGAGAGCTTCTCATTTGTACGGCATTATTTACCACAGGTGATAGCAGGGCAGGGAGTAGAACTGACAATGAAAGGCTTCTGTATTAGTCAGCTCAGGCTGCTTTAACGAAACACTAGGGACTGGGCGCCTCAAACAATAGGCGCTGACTTCTCATAGTTTCGAGGCTGGAAGTCAATCCAGATCAAGGTGCTTTCTGGTGTGGGTGCTCTTCCTTTCCCTTCCTCATCCATAAAGCTAGGGCTTGGACTTGATAGTCCCTAAGGCTCCCTGCCCCTCTGTCATTGTTCTTGATCTCCCTTGCAGTTGAGGGAGATCTTTGGGGTCAAAGCAGTGTCTCCTGACTTGTCCAGTGAGTGGTGACGTGCATTCACGCAATGACAGGAACCCCAGGATTATTCTCTCTAGAGACGAGAAGCTGCTGGTTGTTCTTTAGTCAGTTATAGTTGTTAAGTAATAACAATTCTCTAGTTGTGAAGCTCCAATAAAAGACTTTCCCTCCTGCTGCCTCTTTCTGTCCGGAATTCTTGTTTTTGTCTGCGTTCTTGCATGTGTCTGTGGAAGTCCGGAGACTTTTATAGTCAAGGATTTACCAGGCCATGGGAGGCAGCCGCCTCTTACAGGCACTTGTGTTATCCTTTTTGGGAGTGTGTGTTCTCGCCATTCCTGTTTTTCAGTTCCCCTGCTTTGAACATGTTCTGGGATGTGGATTAAGGATTCGGTGGGGGTGGGGGTGGGGGTGGGGGTAGATTTGGGTGGGAGACTTATAGCGGGTAGAGCCGAGAATGACTTCCCATCAGCAGCAACTTAAAGACGTGTGTTGATGTCTCTGCTGGATACCAGGCCCAGTGCTAACCAGTTACTTACCACTTTCTCGGCGGCACAGTCAGTGATGGTCTCTTGTTCTGGAGACCTTGACTGGAAAGTACACTTTGCTATCAGCAGGCCTCTTTGTAGTATTTGGCTGTGATATCTAGAGCATTCTGGATTGAACCCAGCACGCTTTGATCTGTAGGGCCAAGACCGATATGGTGGGACTTGGAATAGTAGCCGATGGGGCAGGCAGTGAGAAAAGGACAGGGAGGCCCTTTTAACAACCTCTGACAATAGCACTCCCTCCTTGAACTAGAGAGTAAGACTCACTTGAATCTTCCCTCTAGGTGGTTTCTTTTTTGTTCAAGCATGTAGGACATTTTTTTCTGTCCTATAAGGCCAGGACAAGCGGGGAAGGGAAGTGTGGGCTCTGGCCTATGGGAAGCAGGGAAAAGCATGGAGCTTGGAGTCTGGCCAACCTGACACAGACCCCAGCCCAGGCACTTAGCTGTGTGGGCAAGTTTTCCAAGTCCCAGTGTTCTTACATATAACATGAGGCTAGGAATAAAAAATGTGCAGGCTTGTAACGAGAATTGCATGAATAAAGTGCCTACGGTACCGGGGGTGGTTAGTATATATGGATTTTCTCCCTCCTTGGTGAACACCGGTTGGACTTCCTGGAATGGGAGTCTTGAAGTTGGAGACCTGGTTTTGGAGCATAGGGTGATCTGCTTGGGACACCAGATCCAGGGGCCAGAGTGGATATTGAGACCACAGGACAGAAGAAAGGGCAAACTTTCAGCTCCAGAGACACCCACTTGGGCACCTACCTCCTTGGTGTGGGAAAGGATTGATTTTCACTAGAAATGTCATGCCTGCCTATCACATCTGCTAAGGAAAGCTAATACTGATCTCCCTTCTGTATTGTCCAAAGCTGCCCCTTCCTCCATTTGATGATACTGGATGACTCATTTGAGAAGTAGTCCTCGAAGAAAAGCTTTAAGGAGAAAGGTGCATGGTCACATCTGGGCCCCCTTTTGCACAATCCTGAGCACAGACTCTTTCTCTGCTTGGCTGTCTTGCAGGGGTAGAGGATTTATGTGATCCTAAGGAGGTTTTTGGTATTCTTTGCAGAAGTGAGATGCCTTAACCTAGAGGTCTTTTTGCCTCCATGGAATACAAACCGGATTAGGAGCTCTTTGTGCTCTGCCACAAATCATTACACGTCTGCATTTTGCTCTTATAAGATATGGACAATGACATGACTCTGTCTCCTAGGAGTTTGAGTGCTTTAGTTAATGATCATGAAACTTTAGAAATAGGAAATTCATATGAATGCTGAGAGCTTTTGTAATTACATATTTGCATCCCTTGCTTGGCATCCTTGAAAGTTGTCCTTTCAACATGAGAATCCTTGGGCTGATTCTTGTTCTTTTAATTGTAGAGCAAGTTTAGAAGGAATAAGCTCAAAGAGCACAGATAAGTTGTCACGGCGTCTCGCGGAAACCCTGAAGTCGTTCAGGCTGGAGTGGTTTGGTTTGGGCTGAAATGGAAGAAGAGCTCGAGGTATTTTAAGGGCACTGAAGTTAGAGAATCCTGGGGGCCGGGGACGGTAATGGCCTCCGGGCAGCGTTGTGCTTAGAGGCTCCTGTCTCTTGTCCCTGTGACCTCAGGACCCGTCACTTTATCAGCCTTTGTTTCAGGCAGCAGGGAACATGCTGGATTGCAATGGGCTTTTTTGATGTGGATTGTAGCTTCTGGAGCATGGGCACTGTTTTTCTATCCCATCGAGCAGTCTGCTCTTTGCTTTTTCTCCCACAGATAATTATTTTCAGACTCAGAGACTCTTTAAGAATATGTTAAAAGGCAATGTTTTGAATACCTTGAGTAGAAGACTTAAAAAAAAAAAGATAGGTATTTGTTTAGGAAGGGGGTCACGACTAGTAACCAGACAGCATGCCACCTGATAGCTGATTCTGTTTTTCTTTTGTTTCAGGCAGCGGTGCTACGGCTGTGGTCCAGGCTGCTCTCTGCAAGCCCCGGCAAGAACGCGTAGCAATAAAGCGCATCAACTTGGAAAAATGCCAGACCAGTATGGATGAACTATTAGTAAGTAAAAAGTGAAGGATACCCGCCGGTTGCTTTTCTTCACTGGTGGGTTTGCAGGGCTGGCCAGAGGAGCAGGGGAAAGAGAGAGCAAAGGCAAGTTGGTGTTCCCTCCTATTTTGACACATGTATTTCTTGGAAAGCAGCCCACATCGCTGCTCCTCCCCTGATTAATTATACCGTCCCTTACAGTTGTGTTGTATACTGTATGACTCACTTTGCTATCACAAGCAGGGTTTTGTTCAGTCCTCATAATTCCAGGGTGGGCCTGGTCTCCGCACTGACACTCTCTTTTGGAAAACCAGGGAACAGACACAGTTAGATGAACTCGAAGGTCATGTGATGCTGAGTGCAGAGCTGGGTTGGAGAGCTTCTGGCCCTCCATCCAGAGTCGACATAGATAGGAATTACTCCCCAAGCCCTTTTTGGTCATTTTGCCTTTCAGAAATTACCAGATGACCTACACATTTCAGTTATTCAAAATACTGCAGGGTAGCTTGCTTTTGGCTAAGAAGAGGAGTTTGCTTTTTGTACATGGCAACTTGTAATTCTTATTCTAAAGGAAGTACGTACGTTACATAAATAATTGGAGCTTTGAGGATATGACTATAGTAGCATTGGTTGATTGCAGGAACTTTTGCTTTTGGCTTAACTGACTCGTTATTAAACGAACAGCTTGGCAAATGGTTATTAGTTGCCCGGCAAACTGTGAAGGGTTTGAGAGTTTAATCTCATAAATATAGTTGTCATTCTGCCTGCCAATTCTTTTATTTTCCTTTTGGCCATTTATTTGAGGATAATAGGAAACTGCAGTGGAGGAGTTAACTGATTGGTTATCCCAACCCTAATCCCAGTACAAATATTAGTCCAATAGCTATCCACACAAGCTACAAAGTATAATGACATTTGGCTCCAAATGAAGAAGCCTTTTGTTGTTTTCTACATTGGGAATGGAATGTCATTAACAAGAGCTTTTTGTCTTTACTCAGAATATAGCTTTTATTCCAGTCTTAATTACGGCACACTATAGTATAAATTAAGTAGAAGGATAAAGCTGCACTTTTCCAGATGTGTTTGGCCTCACATTTTAAATTAGGCTCCACAAGGCATAGATTTCGCTGCGATTGAAGCAACAGATTGCCCGCTAAAACTCAGATTAAAGCAGGGGCTTCCACAATTTAATGTTAATTCCAAAACAAAACAAAACAAAACAAAACAAAAACAACCCAAACCCCACAAAATATATATACATTTAAGGCTGTGACCTTCTTCAGAATTTCATCTGTGCTTTGCTCTTACGGAAATGATTGCTGCATCCTTCTGTCGCTTGCAATCATGGTGACCAATAAAATTGTGCCTTTGTCATCTGACCAGTTTTGAAGGTCACTCTCCCCAAGTGGAAAAAGCACTAAAACTGTGGGGAGAGTCGGGTCCTACTTCTGCCACCGACTTGTTTTCTACCTTTGGTCAAGTCACCTAACAGCACAGCACTGTTTAGAAAGATTGTTGGATTGGGAAATCTCTCAGATCCTTTTAGGAGTCCTCAAATTCTGTGGCTATACTGAATATGTGCTATTTTTTTTTTTTAATTGGAGTGTACATTTGTATGCCCTGTTTGGAAATAACCACTCACGAATTTGCCCGTGATGATTGTACTTGATCTTGGCACTCTGTTGGAGATCCCATGGCCATCCTGTTGCCAGCAGCAGACTATTTATGCAGGGTCTTTGTGAGACCTGTGTACATTTGTGTCTGGCAATTCTGAAACCAGCCTTCCGGGCCGACACTGTGGTCCCTGGTCTCTACGAGCCCCGAGTTGCCCCAAGCCTCCATGTTCTCCCTCTGCTGGCTGTTGGTCAGCAGTTGGTTGCTGGCCATGGGAGCTAATGAAGGTCCTGGTGGAGGCAGCAGGGGGGGACACTTTCCTCTGTTTCCCTGGGACCAGGGACCATAACAGTGTCATTTGGAGATACAATTTAGGCAGAGCTGCACATGTAAGGACCTGGGTGTTATGGCTTTGTGCTTGGCTCATTAATCTGAGGTTTTAGGATTTATGAGTTAGCTTATTAGCAGTTAGTTTATTTCTCTCATTCTCCATCCACCTCCCCCCCAGCTTAATGCCCACGATGTGTTAAGAGTATAGTATATATGTATAATTATCTATTTTTCCTTTAAGAGGTATATTGATTTCTTGCTTTGATCTTTCCTTAACCTTGAACCTTTGACCTTCTGATGTCTTGATATTTCAAGAGATGGGAGGGGGAATGGTTCTTTAGGATGTTTGTCCTTTGCAAACAGCAAGAAATGGAACTTACAGTATGGGCTGCCTGATGTTGCCAGGCTTTTGTGGCCCAGCTATTGGCACATGAGATCGTGTGGAGCAAAGTTGCTATAATCCTTTCAATTTCTAATACTGCTGCTGCTCGCACTTTTATTATCTCTCTGGGTTCACATTTTGGCAGTGTTTGGACATCCGGTATCCTAATAATCCTTTAATTCCGTGTGTGTGCGCGTGCGTGTGCGTGCATTATGTACAGGTCCACGCTCTGCATCATTTCACAAACCGTGCCATGTGTTAACTGGAAGCCATTGTTCTTATAAGAAACAATGGCCACTGGAATCCTTACTTTGTGAGAGTGTTATGTCATAGAAGTCACAGTTATCAACCGTCTGCTGGCTGTTGGAATGTCCGCCTCCCCAGCTGAAACTATCACCTCCTACTTCCTACTCCCTTCCGTGTCCCTACACTCTTGCTTCAACCCCCCTGGTAAGGTAGGATTTCCACTCACAGGTATGATGTGATGGCCCGGAGCAGTTCTGGACAACTGTCCCTGGACTCTGCTTCTATGTATGGCAGAGGCTGTCCGATTCTGTGGTCATATGGAGTTTACTTCAGGTCTGGCTGAAGAAGGATTCAAGTGGTCATGATTTCTGAAGCAAAGTGATAATTACAGTCCTGTCTTCTCTGAGAAGGAAGGGAGGAAAAGAAATATTAGATGAAATCACTGGTGCTAAATAAGTGGTAATTTAAATAAAATTTATTTACTGTTGAAATGAGTACTGTAATATTCCTCAATGACATTTGGTTCCGGATCTGATACACATTTAGTCATTTATTTGGTAAATATTTAACGAGTTTCCTCATTGTGCTCAGGCCCATAAGAAGGGTGAGTTTTGGGTGTATATATCGGAGGACAAAGCAATATGCTTGGTAAAAATTCATCTTAACAGCAATTAGATTAGAAAACCCTAGAACAAATGTTTTTCTTGGCCTTACATGAATAGCATTTAGTTAATTTAATTCTTTTTCTAGGCATGTTTTTAAGTTTTCTTAGATGTATTAGAGTTTGGCCTTTAATTATAGTTAAAGTTATAGTTAAACTCTCTAGGTATGATGCTTTGGTGGTTAATTTTCTAGGAGTCAAGGGCTGTTACTGGTCTGTTCTATATTCCTGACCATTCCAACCTAGATGCTTTGATAATTTCTGAGATTTGTTAATCCCACATTTTTTAATCCCACAGTGGTATAAATGACTATAATAGGCTTAACACTCTCTGGGAGACATTTATAGTTTCAGAATAGAGCTTGTTAACTGCATGATTATTAAACCCTCCTAGATGCTAGACACTGAGCTAGACGATGGGGAAAACAAAGTTGATTGCTGTTTTTTGGGGAGCCTGGGGACTGGTAAATGAGTTTCTTCATTTTTATATTGGGTTGGTGAGCTTTTTGAGCTATGGATTCTTTCTGCACCTTTTCCCTCTATTTGTGTAGAAATGGTTTAACAGATTCTCTAACATGCATTCCATTGAGGGAGTTCTTGCTTTTCAGTAGGAATTTGAGGCTGGCTTAAATGGGTCTGATCCACTGTCATGCAGGCTGGGTATATTCTATGTGAAGATGGCCTTCAGGTTTCTTGAAAGAGCTTAATTCTCTGGTTTGTGGTTAATCTCCAAGGTTAGGGATGCTGCTCGAGGGCCCACTCACTTCCCTTAAAATTCCATTTCACCAGTGAATAACTAATCCGCTTTTTCGAAGTCATCTTTCAGTCTCTATCACCAGGTGACAGTGATTTCCATAAATGTGACATGGTCGTCCTTCCCTTTATTTATCCTAAAACCCACTTTTTCCAACCTTCAGGGGACTCTCCTTAAAATTTTTGGCCAGCGATTGATGGACATTTTGGTTCATCACCTTAACTTGACTTGATGGTTTTTAGACTTCAACCATATCCTTCTCAATACTTTTTCTCTAGATTTGAGTTCTCATATTTTTAGTCTGTCTTTGGTCCCTAGTCACAGAAAGCTCAGTAGCATTTTCTCATTGCTTCATAAACACCAATGCCATCAAAACTTACAGTTTAATTCCTAGGGGCAGGAGTGCTGTGTGTGTAGGAGAAATCATGGCCCTGGGGCCAGGCAAAGTGCTTGTTTCTTCAAGGAAAAAAAAAAAAGTCTAGTTAAGGGATTTCATTATAAAACAATATTTAATGATCATTATAATATTTTAGCACATGATGGGTGACAGATGTGAGCAAAGTCGTTTCAAAAAACAATGGCCACCCATGGTTGCCCAAACTTGTGATGGAAGGAAAATGGCTTCCTGGGTCAGAGGGCCTGTGTTCTTCATGTGGATCATGGACTTGAGAGGGATCGGTTTCACCCCTGGCCCTCTGTCTCCACATTTGTTCAATAAGGAATTCTCCTGATGGCAAAACTTCATCACCAAAGTTCTATTTAAAAATTAATTCTTTTAATGAAATTCCTTTTAATAATCACTTGAACAAAAACACTGATTGCTAGCAAATTATGCTTCATAATTCAGGATGGAATCAAGTCACTCCAGCATTATAGTGTAACAAAAACAATCCAGTGTAAATGCATAGATCTGGGCACACAGTGTGCCATCTGCCTCTCCCATGTACATAATGGAAGAGTTTCTGTCTCCAGCTGGAAAAAAATCTGGCATCTGCCCTTCTTTTCCTATATCATCTTTATAAGGA